GACCAATATCCCCTTCTGGTTAACGAGATGTCCCAGAAACTGGACCTCCCGCAACCAGAAATCGCACTTGGAAAACTTTGCATAAAGTTTCTCCGATCTCAAAACTCCAAGAACCTCCCTCAAATGCTCCTCGTGTTGCTCTCTAGATCTCGAATATACCAGAATATCATCAATGAACACAATCACCGACCGATCCAACATCGGCCGACATACCCTGTTCATGAGGTCCATGAACACAGCCGGGGCATTGGTGAGCCCAAAAGGCATCACCACAAACTCATAATGCCCATAACGCGTCCTGAATGCTGTCTTCTGGACGTCCTCGTCCCGCACTCTCACCTGATGATAGCCCGACCTCAAATCAATCTTGGAGAACCAAGATGCTCCCTGTAACTGATCGAATAAATCGTCGATCCTCGGCAACGGGTAACGGTTCTTGACCGTCAGCTTATTCAATTCCCGGTAATCAATACACATGCGATGCGAGCCATCTTTCTTCTTCACAAACAGGATGGGTGCTCCCCACGGCGAGCTACTCGGCCGAATAAACCCCTTCCCCAGCAACTCCTGAAGTTGCGAGGATAACTCTTGCATCTCTGGAGGCGCAAGGCGATACGGCACCTTAGCGATAGGCGCGGCTCCCGGAACCAAATCGATACCAAACTCCACTTGCCTCACGGGAGGCACACCTGGTAACTCTTCGGGAAAGACATCTGGAAACTCACGCACCACCGGAACTTCATCCACTGAACTCGGTCTCTCGGAGATCACTCGCGTATCCATCACATACGCCACAAAACCCTTACAGCCCTGCTGTAAACACTGCCTCGCCCTAGCAGCCGAACAAAAGGCTGATCCAGAACGTGTACCCTCGCCGTAAACCGAAAGAACTCCCCCACTAGGATCTCGTATAGTCACCAGCTGACGCTCGCAATCGATAACCGCACCGAATCGGCTCAACCAGTCCATGCCCACTATAACACAGACATCACCCATCGCAATAGGAATCAGGTCGATCGGGAACTCAACCCCAAAAATCTCCAATACACATCCCCGGAGGACCTCTGTGGCACAAATCACTCTGTCGGCGGCTATGGAAACCCGCAGGGGCCGACTCAGTGCCCCACGACTAACACTGATACGCTGACTAAATGCCAAAGATACAAAAGATCGACTCGCACCCGAGTCAAATAACACTAAAGCAGGTACAGAATTCACAAGGAAGGTACCTATGCATAGCATAATATAAGCATAATATCTCAACACCATAAATAAATAATAAAAGGAAACGTACCAGCCACAACGTCGGGTGCAGCGCGGACCTCTTCCGCAGTCAGCTGAAAGGCTCTCCCCGAGCCCTCGGTGCCTCGGCCTTCACGGGCCGACTCTCTGTAGCAGTAGCTCTGATGGCGGCGGGAGCAGACCCCTGAGATGCTCCGCGCAGCAGCGGACACTCTGCCTTCCGGTGTCCGGTCTGGTTGCAGTGGAAGCACACTGCAAATCCCTTGGGGCAGTCCTTGGCCATATGCCCCTCCTTGCCACATTTGTAGCAAGACCCTGCTCGACAGACTCCATCGTGACCCTTGCCGCACTTCCACAAGTGCGGCCCTTCTGGCTCCCGGGTCTGGGATCAGCGGGCTTGGCCCGCTTGGCTGCCGGCTGGGACTGTGCCGGCCGCCGATCCCTCCCCAGAGACTCCGCCTCCTCCCTGGCCTGAGTCTCAAGCTCAATCTCCCTCTTCCGAGCATTTGCCTGAAGCTCGGCAAATGTCCGATACGAGGAGTTCGCAGCGAACTCCCGAATATCCCGTCTCAGAATGCTCAGGTAACGGCTCATACGTGCCTGCTCGGTGGACACGTGCTCAGGGCAGAACATCGCCCTCTCATGAAACATCCTCGTAATCGCTGTAACTGACTCGGTACCCTGCTTGAGGGTCAGAAACTCCTGTGCCAGACGCTCCCTCTCCACCTGAGGAACGTACTCATCTCGGAACATGGTAGTGAACCTCTCCCAGGTCACTGCCGAAAGCTCAGTCGGTGTGAAGTGCGCGTCACAAACTTCCACCAGTCCTTCGCTCCCAAGCGAAGCTGGTTCAGCGCGAACCGAACCTTCAAATGCTCAGGGGACGAGCAAGTGAAGAAGCATCCCTCCATATCAGATATCCACCTCATAGCTGCCACCGGATCCTGCGTACCATCAAACTCTGGTGGCTTGGTGTTGCTGAACTCCCTAAACAATGACGCATCACCTCCCTGGGGCCTTGCCGCAGCAATCGCTGCGGTAGCCGCTGCAACCGCAGCCTCAGAAAGAGCGGCATAGCGCTCGTCAAATGTCTCAATCAACGCGGTCTTAATAGACCCGAACATCTCTGGTATCTCAGCTCTGATGACCGCAGCCACCTCCTCATGAATGATCTGTCGAATCTCCTCATCACTAGCTCCGGCATCCTCTGGCATATGACGTGTCCTCACCATGATCAACCTCTGAAATACAACATGCGATAATTAGAATTCACTCGAACACTCTTACATTCGACAATCCACCCCTCCTTGATTCTTGGTATCCCAAGATTCTTATTTGGACTGTGTACCGCACCGGTGCTTTCAGTAGTACGGGCCCAATACTACTGTCCGCACCGTCTCAGTACACACCCCAAATCTTCCTCTTCGGATCCCAATCCCCAAGTACTCTATTATACTTAAATCACTTTGTAACAGGTCTCACACAAAGCCCTAGCTGCTACCTAATTACTCTCAGCATCTCATAGCAGCTCACCCCTTCCCTAGGCTAAGGCATCACAAAACAGGCCACTCTAGTCCTATCAGCAATACCTAGCCTACTCTAGCATGCAAACACATCACATTAATAATAATTATCACGTAATATAAAGGTATTTTGGGAATTCACCGTTCGGGCGCTGGCTGATCGTACACACGTTTCTTCCTGGAAAATCTTTTACTCTTAGAAAATTTTGGTTTTATTTTGAAAATATCTCTTCAATTCCTCAGTTTGAGTTCAAATACCCCCGAAGGTGTACCCGAATCCCTCAAACCAAGGCTCTGATACCAATTTGTAACACCGAAAATTTCAAAACAAATTTTTCAATTTTTATAAAACATAATTCCATTGATATTCATTAAACAACCATTTAATTATCCAAAATGACAATACAAAATCCCAAGATCATAATATCAAACTCCGAACGTGTGTGTGTGTACGGATCAAGCCGGCGCCTTCCCGCGGTCGTCACTAGTACCTGAAACAATAACATCAAACACTGTAAGCACAAGGCTTAGTGAGTTCCCCAAAATACCACATGTAACACATATTAGCCACTCTAGGCTATAACTCTGTGGGTCCGTGCACCCAAACTCTGTGAACCCTCAGGTTCTAGCTCTGATAAACATGCACCACATAAATCACATAGAAATAATGCAGTACAACACATAACATACATAGCATACAAATACTCTATCACATAACTCTGGTTACCTACTCAAGGTAAAGTATAGTGAGAAGACTCACCTCGCGTGTCTCGGTAAATCGTAAACCTGAAATCGCTAATCACTCGATCTGCCGAGCTGTAGTCCCCCTATAGCACAATACATCTCTAATTAACACTTTCCCAACTAGGGTTGACCACACTATAACAAGTCAATCTAGGTCAACGCTGGTCAACGGTCAACGGTCAACTTTGACCGGACTCGGCGAGTGCGCTATAGCGACTCGGCGAGTCTGAGCGTATGCACCAATTTCCCTGGAATCCTCCCTGACACGTCGAGCATTCACTCAACTCGACGAGTTCCACCTGGCACGAGTTGTGGGGCCACCACGACTCAACTCGCCGAGTCTCAAGAACAACTCGGCGAGTCCAGTTTGACTCAGTCCACCTGTCCATTCTGACTCCCCTTGACTCACTGAGTCCACCCTTCCCAACTCGGCGAGGCCACTCACTGTGTGGTCGGGCAACATTCATGCTACTCGCCGAGTCTGTTCTTCGGACTCGGCGAGTCCGTGCCATGCACTGACTCAATCTTGCTCTAAAGGTCAGATCCAGTCCATTAATCCATAGATCCAGTCCCTCCAAGCTCATTTAGCACGTAAAGTTACAATCTTGATGCACATACAACCTCTATATGACCATATATGATGTTTTTGACTCAAATACTACAACACAAGGTCAAAGACTCCATTGTCACCCATAAAGCTTGATGAGTGAGGCTCTCTGGACCTCTATGGATCCAGATCCATAACCTCAACTCAAAGAGGGAACCAATGGGCATCAAATCATCCCATAAATGACCATCATAAGCCCTAAATTGCATCATGTTTCACTAAACAGAAAATGGTCCGAGATAATACCTCTAGAGTGATGCTCTAAGCTCCAAATCCACGAAATAGCAACCTCCTTTGCTTCCTCTTGCCTAGGGTCTCCTTCTTCTTGCTAAATAACACACACAAGCTCAAGAATTGCTCCTTTCTCTTCACAAATCGCTCAAGAACACAAGGGTCACTCACTGAGGGTTGGGTGAGCACAAATGACGGCCATAAGGCCCTTTAAATAGGCCTCAAACCCGGAGTTTTAGGGTTTCATTACACAGCGTAGACTCGCCGAGTCCATATCCTGGACTCGCCGAGTCCAGGCGCGCTCCATTATCCAAATCCGCGTCCCTACTCGGCGAGTCTGAGCTCCAACTCGCCGAGTCCCAACAAAATTAGATTTACAAGATACCTGGTAAAATCCGGATGTTACACGCAAGTCACTAGAATACTCCAAAAAAATGCATTCATGCATTCTCGCTTAGAACAGCTAAACATGGACCACATTTATACTAGACCAATAACCTAAAGCCTAAACATAACAAGCCTACCGAAAACACACTAAGCCCACTAGTGATTTTGGTCCAAAACCGAGAACATATATTACATACAAAAACAAAGCATAAACAAGAAAATATAGCACAACAATCACCCCCTTGGTTTATTGCTTTTAGTTCACTTCAAGGGTTTTCCATGAGATGCACGTATGCCTGATCAAATGCCCCATTCCACAACTTCTTGTCAATTATTATAGTTACCATTCCAGTGAAGGCTTTTGCAACAGTTTCAAACAATTCATTCTCAACGATTATTTGAAAGTTTGACAAAGTGCGAATATCACGTTCACCAAACTTCAACAAGTCTTTGGGATCAACAATGCGATATTGGTTTCTCTTCAGCTTGATCACCACTGACATAGTAGCCTCATCATAAACCCAAAATTGCATTGAATCCAAAGTGCCTTCTCGTAAACATTTAGGAAGTGGAATCCTTTTAGCCTGCTTTGTGGGCGACCACGTAACATTCACCATGGTTTTGTTAGTGCAAGGATCAATGACATCCTTGGTCTTTTTGGTAAACAACGAAGCAGTCTACAAGCCTTCAAATTTGTTTTTAGCTTTAATCTCAAGAAAATTCTTAAAAGACCAGGCCATGGGATCATTGGTTGGATTATGGAAAGGTGTGTGGATGAGTTCAGAAAGATCAACTTTTGTCCAGGACAAGAAGTTGACTTTCTTCTCATAATATTCAATTCGTCCGCTTTTCCGCTTCACTACCCATATTTTCTTTTCAGCATCAAACCCCTACATCATAATGACAGAGCGATCCCCATATATATCTGTGAATTTCTTTCTTGATTCCCTGAAAAACATCTCATGGTGATCACATTGGGCATTTTGGTCTGAATGCTTCATCACTAAGCACTTCCCTTTTAGCTATTCGACCCTCATTTGCTTCTCTCTTCTTTCTTGAGTAGAATTAGTACCAGAAAATAGGAATGAATCAAGATTAGCATCTGGAGTAGGTTTTACAACTCTTTCACTTGTAGGTGAGAAGTTGGATTGGCAGCACATGAACAAGAAGCATAAATGTTTTCTCCTTCAGTGCTTAATAGTTAAAATTCATCACCAAACGTTGGATGTAAGAGCTGTTTTAGGTCAAAGAATAAAGCAGTAAGACCACCAACATTTTCTTGAAGTTCTGAAATCATTACATCTTTAATGGAGTTCTCCTTTTCAAGCTCACTCATTCTAATGTCATGCTTTGTTCCAAATCAAAAACTCTGTGTTGAAGCAGGGTGAAATCCACGAATTCAGACTCGGGCAACTTGCTTTTGCCTTTTGAAATGTCTAGCTCGGGGGCTTCAAAGGTGCTTCTAGAAGCTTAAGCCCTTTCTGAAGGTAAACTTCTTGTTCAACAATAGGTATTTCAAAATCCTGATCCATAGAAGTGGACTCAGGTAACGGGATTTCAATGTTTTGAGCCATAGGACTAGGCTCAATCGGAGTAGATACATTTTGAATAGGGTCTGTGATAAGCACTCTAGGTCTTGGATCTTTGTTTTTTTTTCATCAGGACTAGGGCATGGGAGAAGTCTTCTAAATTACTTCCAGATGGAGGTTCAGTATCAACTGAAACTATTTGGGGATGCTTCCTCACAGTTCGCTGAAGTTCTGCAATAAGTGCATCCATCTATTCAAGGGTTGGTGAGGAAGAGTGTACCAATGTATCACTTTCTCTGTCAGACACAATAGGAGGCCTAACAGCAGCATCTTCTTCTGTGAATGAAATAATTTGCTGAATTAAATTTTCAAATTAATTCTCTGATAAGTCCTTTTCTTGATCCTCTTCTTCTTCTTCTTCATCAGATACTTAAACCTCTATAAAGGCAAATTGAAATTTTGGTTTAGGTACCACATGTTCATCGGCAATCTCAACATTTATGGAACTAGCAAAAGAGTGTTTTCAAGTTCATCAAACTTTCTAAACTTAACTAGCTCCTTTAATCCTTGATAGGAAACTTTATTTTTCATTCAAGATCATCTAGAATAATCTGAGGTACATTAAAAATAGATCCTTTTTATATCCCTGAAGGTTGCTCTTCATCTCTTTAAGAACGAATTTTGAGAAGTAGTAATCCCAGTCCATAGCTAGAGCGACAATGGCTAAGGTTACAGTCTGACTAACCTCATCAGAGCCCCCCTTCCTTCCAGAAATGAAAATGACAAAAGAATGTGCCAGGAACCTCATCAGAGCCCCCCTTCCTTCCAGAAATGCAAATGACAAAAGAAAATGTCAGGAACCTCCAGTAAGGTGGTAGTAACTTCTTCATGGTGAGAAGATAGGTTCCTTCCTAACACATATTTTCAAGAACTTCCTTGACTTAATCAGCAGGGTACTCAATTGGGAATGCAGAAGCATCACCAAATTCAAGTACCTCTTGGATAACTTGCTGAGAAATAATTACTTGTGTTCCTTTCACCATCGATTCAATAGAATCAGCTCCATCTGCTCCCTGCTTGTTGATCGAATCATTTTTCTATAACTTAGTAATCAGATCTCTGTGGATGACTGGATTAGCATGAGAAATCCTATAATTGTTCAAACCCAACATCATGGACTTGAATTCTTGATGAGCAACAGGTGGGTCCATGAGATATCCCGCAATATTGTGAGAGTCCACAAATTTTAGTTGCTCTACCATTTATTTGCACCAAACTAGCCAAGTAAAGAATTAATTTTAAATTAATTAAATGGAGATTGAAATTTGATTTCAATTAAAGTCAAAGTTTTAGTTGTTTTCGGTTAAAATCAAGATGTTAGTCGATTTCGGTTAAGGCTCATCGATTTCGGTCAAAACACATGTTGACCAAATGATTTCGGTCAAAGCTGGGTCATTTCAGCCAAAAAATCTGTTTTCGGTAAAGCCTGCATCTGATTTCGGTTGGATCCGGGTTGAACCGAAAACCCAAAATCCCATCGGAACCTATTCCAAATCATATTTTTGAAAAACCTTCGAACAATCCACTCAAAACATGCGAATCTATGAAACCGAATACACCAAAAACAGCTTTAATGACATTGCCATAATCAAAAATAAAAAATCTACCTGATTCACCGAACAATTTTCAACAAGAACAAAGATTGAGTTGGTTTTGCAGAAAAACTCAAAAAAAAAAAAAAAGGAGAAGAACGTCGATGATGATGATGATGGTTGTTTGGGGTTTTTCAATGGAAAACCCTAACCACCCGAAAACTTAGTAAATATATATGACCAAGAAAAACCCAAATGGCCCACTTAATCCGATTTTGGCCCATTAATAAACTAACCCAAATTTTAATAAAAAGAATTTCCTTCGATTTTACGTTTCAAAAACCAAAACGAAAATAAAATAAAATTAAACACACATTTTTACATATATATATATATATATATATATATATATATATATATATATATATATATATATATATATATATATATATATATATATATATAGAGAGAGAGAGAGAGAGAGGGCTAGGTTATTGTGTTTCTATCATTTATTGTGTGCTACAATGCACCAATAGGAATTTAGTAACTTAAATAATTATTAATTAAATAAATATAGATATTAAATGATTTCTATAATTTTAACTATATTAAATAATATATCCATAATTGTAATTCTCTTTTTATGGAAATTAATTAAATCCGTCATTAATGTCAGCAATAACATTCTTTCAGAATGAATTCGCATCTAGGTTTTTATATATGAGTTCGTATTTTGTTTCAGGACTTAATCACTTAAAATATAATAAAGTTGTATGGAATATCAAGAATGAGAGTGTATTCTAATAGAATACACTCTCATTCTGCTGGAATACACTCTCATTTTTCTAGATATAAATTTATTCTGAAAGAATATTGTTGTTGACATTAATGACGAATTTAATTAGTTTCCATAAAAATGAGTTATAAGGATTGATAACATTTAATATAGATATAATTAATACTAAATTCATGTTGGTGCATTCTAGCACACAATAGATGTGAGAAACATTTGAACCTATATATATATATATATATATATATATATATATATATATATATATATATATATATATATATATATATATATTCAAATCTACCGATCACACTAAGGGGACTACATATAACTAATATAGAGAGTAAAATATTTGTAGTACACAATATACTGACTTAAAAGCATTGAATATCAGATGAGTGCATATGCGGTGTCCCAGGTCAGATCTTCCGATCATGCAAAGGGTACAACATATGGCTGACTAAGAAAGAAAGAATAACAATTTTAAACAGACCCAATTTATCAAAACCCCTCAGTCACCCCTATCAATACCAAAATTAAGGAGATAAGTCCATACGCCAATAAAGTGTTGAACCACAGATCTAGATGACAATTAGCTTCAACTTATGTCTGTAACGCCTGTGTTTCAGGGCAAAGCGGTAGTAGATGATGTAATAGTTTATGTCAACTATTGTAACTTTTTTGAAGTAATAAAGATGAATTATTTGAATATTATATGAATTATGTGCATTTATGTGCTTAGTACTTATTTATAAATTTATAATAAATAAAGGATAAAAATAAGCGTCAAAATTAAAGTGTGGGATAAACCCGATATCTTTGTATAAAGTTGTAGTGATCGAAACAAGGATTTTGGGGATATAAAGAATGTCGAAATCCATGTTATAATGAAGAAGTTATAGAATTTTAACCGACCAATCTTTTCCCGGCCTATTAAAAACATAAATTTAAAATAAAGTCAAAATCAGCCAACGGAGTCTAAACAAAAGTTGTAGAGTATGTTCCCGCGTACACGTGGATATAAACAACGTCGAAAACGGAGCTCGTATATGAATGTTATAAATCTTTGAAGTCAGGAAGGAAAATTGCGAGACCGATGCGAAATTGATGATGTGGCATGATGTAGGTCGTCGCTTGCTGATCACGCCTTGCTTCGGATGAATGACACCTGACCTTCGGTACGCCCAACGTTACGAGCTCGGGTACGCGCCACGTACAGCTGCTTCCCTCGGTGCACAAGCCTCCACATCGCACCATCCGAAGTTCGCCAAGTGCTGACCTAATCCGAACTACGCCTCAAGTAGCCGAGGACTACGCCCAGCGTACGTCCAAGGCTGGAGCCTATTAAAATGGTGTGAAGTTGCTCGGATTTTCCACACATTTCACAACTCCTTTTTCTCTCTACTTTCTCTCATTACTTCCCCCCCCCAACCCCATTTAAGCCTAGGTAAACCCCCTAACACTCGAAGGAAGCCCCGAGGCTCCCGGAGTACCGAGAAAAATGGTCTATCAGTTCGGAAACGTTGCTCCAAGCAAAGCCCAGTTTTCGAGAAAACACGTTGTTAGTTAGCTACGCCTATGCTATTTTTAATACAGTTTTTATTTAATTATAGTAACATTATTATGAACTTAAAATAATTATTTGGGCAATTATTATGAGTTATATAAGAGTGTTGCTTAACCCTTATATAATAGTAATAATAGCTAGACTATTAGTTAGTCGTGGTTACGATTAGACTAAACCCTAGTCGTATTGATACTAGGTTTTGTCAAGGGAAAATTGTTTTGAGATAATGAAGCGTTGTCCGAATACCGAGTTACCACCTTATCAGGTGAGTGCATAGTTACTTTCATCTTACACATAGATATGAAGTATTTTATATAACTTACATGTTGTGAGTGCATATTATTTGTAAACTTGGTATTTATGCTGGATGAATGATTTTAAACGTGTTTTAAATGATTTAAACTGTATATGTATTTTATATCTACAAAATGTGTTGGCTAAAACATGGGTACATGTAATAGTTGTTGTGTGACAAAATAAAATAATGAGAGGCCTCGTTATAGATGTTACTGATGATCCAGTCATCTAGCGGAGTATAGATGAAGACCACAGACTTTTCTAGACAGTCCAGTGGAATGCTAGCAGGCTCACAACCTGTAGGTGTTTATTTGAACTGTGTGCTCACCAGCACTACTCCATCCCGCACATGGTTGCCTTATTTGACATGAATTGCTGAGGAACCCAAGAAGCATGTACTGTCACCCCGATGAAAATCCTTAAGCTAGGTCCCTTATGTTAGATGTTTTAGGGACGTAAAGTCAGGATAATGGGAATAAGTAATTGGGTCTGTTTGGTTGATGAAAATAATATAATTATTTATTGTGGGTCGAAAACCCTATGTGCTCACCAGGCTCCCAAGCCTGACCCACTTAGTTTCTTGTATTACAGGTAGTGGCCCATGAGCATATATGTTTGGACAAGAGATAAAGGATTATAGGCCTGTAAATACGAAATAATGTAGTATGGATTATGTTGTACTGTTTATCCTTTTGATCTGTATCGTACATGACATACCGATTCTTTTAATGAAATGCATTTATACATAAATTCTTTGATAAATCTTTATCATATTTTGTTTTGGGAACAAATTCCACAACTCTTTTATTTAAAATGCTTCTCTGATTTTAAACAAAGCATAAACAAATCGGTCTTTTTTGTCCGTGAAAATGGGGATGTCACAGTTGGTATCAGAGCATTAGTTTAAGCGAAATAGGAATCTGTTGGATTTCAAGATTAAACTTAGAATGCTAAGCGAGGATTGTGAGATGTGAGCACTAGCTTATTTTAGGAATTATGCC